TTGGTAGATATTGAGTAATTGAACTGCAGTCAGAGAGCACGAGAGACGTTACAGCGTTTGTTTAGCTCGATTGTTGAAGTTGAGTGTATCGGTAAAGTTATATTTGGAAAGAATAAACTAGTTTTATTAAGAAAGGAGTTGTGTCGCTTAAGTTTCGTCGGAACGAAGTTACGGAAAGTTAATTAACAAACGGAGACGTAACAGTACCATTTAGAAGTCGGTGAGACCAGTGATTTAGAAGTTACGTGACACACACACACACACTGAATTTTATTATATAGATATTAATGTATACATACGTTGATTCTTTAATTTAAGATGCAAATTTCAACTGTACCTTCAGTGACAATTTAAGAGTCTCTCAGTGGTAAGCTTGAGAGTTTATAACGCTAAAACTCACGGATAGATGCCTGTTATAGGCACAGAACTAATAACCGATAGTGTAAATTTGTATTAAGGACACAAACATAGAACTAAATATAATTACTTGTTGTAGTAACATTTCAAGAATACTATGAACTGAAAGTTGAAAAAAAAGGAGGCAAAACTGCTTTTATAAACAAATAATTTATTTGATTAAACCATAGATTAAACATACATTGTCAAGATTAGTACTCATATTAAATATACAAAATGTTCAATAATCAAATTAGATCAATTTAAAGGCACATTGGAAATATTTCATATAAACTGGAGGATCGGAACTAGTTGGTAGAAAAAATGTCTATTAAATTAAATGTTCGTGTAAACTGACCTATATTGTAAAAATTAAACGACCCCTTTAGTAAGATAAACAATACCAAGGTTACTGTTGTGGTCAATAGGTAGGGATATATTATAAACAGTTACTGCTAATCGTTTTACGAGTAACCATAAAATTAACTTCAGACGAACGAAAACTACTGCTAAACAACTAAAATATTATCAATTGAAATACTTAAAAGTAGGCTTGTAAATAATAAAATGTGGGTACAACTTACAACAACTTGCGTGACATTTTTAGGCCTACTGCTCTCAGTCAGGTAAGTTATTCATTTTGTGTGAAAAAAAAAATATATATATATATAATCTGATCAAGACATGCGATGGTCAACATAAATTATGATACATAAAAGTAGGCTTATAAATAATGAAATGTGGGTACAAATTGCGTGACATTTTTAGGCCTACTGCTCTCCGTCAGGTAAGTTGAAAATATATATATATATATTCTGATCAAGACATGCGATGGTCAACATAAATTATAATACATAAAAGATACTTATAAATAATGAAATGTGGGTACAACTTACAACAATGTGGAAATAATTTATATGTAATGATTGTTTCTTTCTCAAATTTCGCGAAAAGCTACGTAAGCAAGATTTGCGCCAGACGTCCTTAATTCACATACATTTAATGTATGGTTTTATCCAATAAACTATTTGTGTTTAAAAACTGATTGATCGTCTTTTCATTCATTTGTTTTCAGAGGAAAAATCTCTACTGCAGAATTATATCAAAAGCGTATTTATAGGCACTAAGTAGAGAGTAATATGGTAAAGCTTGTTTCACTGGGTCTTTAGAAGTGCACATAATATATTTCGGTTTTATCTTCTTTTTCTTGCACTGGTTGACCGGATTCTTGTATTTTCAAGCTGTCTCGCGAATGTTCTTTTGTATAGTCATATGCATTCTTTGAGTGACACTCATAACTCGCTTGCGTGACACTTTTAGGCCCACTGCTCTCAGTCAGACAAGTTATTCATCTCGATATTCGTATATACATCACAAACTCTACGCACGACCAGTATTCACCAATTATTCGGAATAAATCTTATTCGCTACTTAGATATTTCTTGGATGATAGGAAGGGAAACCAGTGTAGTTGGTTCAACCCCCCACCCACTCCCAGTTCATTGTGGTTATATAGCAATGTACAGCTGTAGAAGTAAAGGGGTGAATGTCAGAGAAGAACCAGAATCGATCACAAACTTATGTGACAAATATATATATATATATTAATATATATATTCTGATCAAGACATGCGATGTTCAACATAAATTATAATCCCTAGAAAACATATATATAGCCAAGGTAAGTACATCAGGACTTGGATGTAGGGAAAGGATGTTTGGTATCAAATCACACACACGTACAAATATCTCACAGTTGATAGATACAACATTATGGGGAACTAAGAAAAAAGGCTCAGCTTTTCGTAGCAGTATATCCTGTTCTAAATATAACATTAATATCATAACATAATGCTTAGGGACAACAAGGGGCATACTGGTTCATCTCGGCTGTCCAATCCTCTAAACTAAACTATCAAATAAATAAATT